ACTTCCAGACCAGATCACAGCTCCCCATAGAGGCAAGAGTGTGAAGAACCATTGAATTTCTCTTTTTATTAAGCAAAAGATGCATTCCTGGGCTGGGAAGCCTTGAGTTTGATTCCTAAGTACCACATAAACAGAAAACCCGAAGTGGCACTGTGGCTCAAAGTGGAAGAGCACTCACCTTGAGAGGAAGAGCTCAGAAATAGCACCCGGCCCAGAGTTCAAGCCCCATGACCTCCTTCCCGCCCGCCCCCCCCCCCCCCACAAACACATCCTTTAAAAGCGTTTCTGCCAATACTGGTGGCTCATGTTTCTAATTTTAGCTACTCAGGAGGCTGAGATCTGAAGATCATGGTTCAAAAGTCAGCCTGGAAAAGAAAATAAGACTTTTATCTCCAATTAATCACCAAAAAGCCAGAAGTGCTCAAGTGACAAAGTGCTAGCCTTGAGAGCAAAGCTTAGGGACAGAACCAACTCCCCCCACCCCACCCCAGCTCAAGCCTCAGGACTGGCATACATATTCACGTACCAAAAAAATTATTTTCTGTTTAAAATAATAAGAATTGCATGTGTGTCTGCTAAGGTTCAGAAAGCACGATATGAAGGGATTCTTGGTCTAGAAATCCACAAAGGAAGAGATTTTTTTTTCCCCTAGCTTAATAGGTGTTCCCATTATGTGCTGTAGTCCAATGTATACCCTTTCTAGAATGTTCCTGAAGCCTATCCTCACTCACACTGTGGCCCCATAAGCCACCGGGTTATTTTACCTTGGAAAGGTCCTGCCACATATGAATGGCTAGGAGGGAGCAGCACAGAAATCGTTTGCTGGATTCCTTTCTCATGGGAAGGTCCTGGAAGTAATCTGGACTTGATACAGAATCAGAATAGTCTCTTCCAAATATCAAGATTAGTTCTATGAGTACCAGAGGAGGTTTTGGGCTTCAGAACTTGTCTTTAATGTTGACCTGGGGTCCCTGATCTCCATGTGAACACAAGCAAATTGATGAGTACACTAGGCAATTTGATTTTGTCAATTTTGGGACAGCATGAAGTGTATCTCTTTCAGAACGCTATGAAGTCTACCATGAATGTACATAACTTTTGTCAATTAAAAAAATAATATATGATAGGATTTTTTTAACTGAAAAGCTTAGCTGGATTCAAGCAGAAATGGGACAAACATATGCCAATGTTGGTTCTCAAAGTAATATGGACCCAGGAAGGAAGCTGGTAGGACATGGGCTGGACTCGAGGCTGGGTTGCATCTCAACACAAGTGACCCTCTGTAGCCTAAGGCTGGGTCTTCCATCTGTACTGAGGTGTTTTGTTTTGTTTTGTGAGTCATGAGGTCTGAACTGTGGGCCTGGGCACTGGGCTAGCACTTTACCATTTGATCTACAGCACTACTTCCAGCCTTTTCTGCTTATGGAGTGCTGAGGAATCGAACCCAGAGCCTCATGAATGCAAGGCAAGCACTCTACCACTGAGCCACTTCCCAGCCCAGTACTGCGTGTGTGTGTTTTTGACATTTATATTTAAACATAAGGAGTCTGACCTTCTGCCTGTGACAGTTTCTGACCTATCTGGGAGCATTGCTGTGTGAGGAGGACCGCAGATGACCCTTGGCCGTGTTGGTGTTTGAAAGCCCCATGGGCTTGACCCCTGAGAAACCCCCTTGGCTGTGTCACAGCATAGCAGGCGGCATCATGGCAGAAGGACAGATTACATGGTGAGACATAAATCCAAAGTGGCTCAGGGTCCGACTTACTCTTTGCATAACAACCCACTCTCTAGGGAATTCACTGGGGTCTCAGAGACTCATTTAAAGATTCCCTCACCTTTCAGCACTGTGACGCTGGGCACCGTGCTTTCAGGACATGAATCCTGGTGTTTCACATGGATTAGGTTAGTTTCTAACTGTAGTACTAGGTTGTAAGTCTAGTGGGGTTCTCATCTAAGTTCTAGGAAGAATGTGCAAGGAGTATTTGCCATGCTTTCTAGAAGAACAAAGACATATGGCAACTGTTGACTGATGTTCTATTGTTCTTTAGAGGTAAACAATTGATCTAAGTGGCCTGGTCAGATAAGACCAGGAGGAAAATGATGGAACTGTCCTTTGACTGGATGTTGTATTCCAGAGATAGCCAGTCTTCCGAGTAGCAGCCACTGGAGTTAGTGAGCGGCATGTGGGCCAGCTCCTCCCTCTTCTCCCTATAAAGGTAACCCGGGGCTGGTCACTGCTGCCGACTCCATGCAATTCCAGGCTACTTTCTCATTTCTCCTGACCCTTACCTCCAGCTCAAGCCTTCACTTTCAAGAAGGAGGGTGGTATGGAATGGGAGGTCGTAACGCTTAACCTGGGAATACAGCAAAGGAGGAGGCTACAATGCTTGATAAGAAATGTACTCATTATCTTGCCCAGGTCATTGTAACCCCTCTGTACAGTATTTTCACAATAAAAAAAGTCTTAAGAAAAAAAGAAAGAAAGGCTTGGAGATATATACACTTGGAGAAGTTTATAATGTAATGTAAGTAGAAGAGTTGAGATTTGAATCTACCCAGTTGGTAGATGGGATTTTCACGACACTGGGCTGCTTTTAGAAGTGAAAACTCCTGCTTCTGTGGAGATAGGTAGGGTGGTGGCTGGTTGTGGAGAGGGCAGTTGCTGTGGACAGTCTTGGCATTGTGTCCCAGGGCCAGAGGGACGATAGGGCTGCTGAGGGTATGGGTTTGGTGCTCTCCCACCACTTTCTCGTTTCTTCTTTCTTTTTTTCTTTCTTTTTTTTGGTTGTGGGACTTGAACTCTGGGCCTGGGCACTGTCCCTCAGCTTTTCAGCTCAAGGCTAGCACTCCGGTTTTTTCTGCTTATGTGGTGCTGAGGAATCCAACCCAGGGCCTCAGGCATGCAAGGCAAGCGCTCTACCACTGAGCCACCTTCCCAGCCCACTTTCTCTTTTCTTTATCAACACAGCCACCCAGAATCCATGCAGCCTTTCTAAGGCCATAGGCCCTTGTTGGGCCTCCTTCCCATGATGGCATTACAATGTCAACACTGGTGAATGTGCGTTGTTTGGCTATGGAGGCTGCAGAGGAAATAAAAACAACGTAACAATACAAGAATGTAAGAGAGGGGCTGGGAAGGTGGCTCAGTGGTAGAGCGCTTGCATTGCATGCCTGAGGCCTGGGTTCAATTCCTCAGCACCACATAAGCAAAAAGAAAAAAGCCGGAAGTGGCGCTGTGGCTCAAGTGGTAGAGCACTAGCCTTGAGCTGAAGAGCTGAGGGACAGTGCCCATGTCCAGAGTTCAGGCCCCACGACCGGACCCAAAAAAAAAAAAAAAGAATGTAAGAGAACCTACAGAGTTACCTAATTTTGGATCCAGAACACAGTTCCCCAATGGAGTCAAGATTGCTAAAGATCTTGAATGTATTTCTTTTGGGCAAATAAAAAAAAGATGCATCCCTCCCAATGATATTATTTCTGGTGAGTTCAGAACATCCTTCATCTGTGTGTCTGAAATACTATTCATGTTAGTCTCCTGTTTTTACTATCCAGATCATCTGTGTAAAACACACAGAAGTACATGGGAACATTCAGAAGAACCGTTCACTCCATAGTATGAATTACTGACCACAGGAAGATCAAGGTTTATAAACAAGGTAAACTAGAAACCTGTGGCATGATAGTAGGAAGTCCTCCATTGGACGAGGAAAGGATTTCTGGGATATCATGACAGTGAGAGCTGAGGGAACAACAGAAACTGGGAAAGAAGAGGAGGAATGGAAAGGGGACCTAAGGGTTTTAAGGCAACCTTAAATAAAAATGAGTGTTTACGAAAGCCTGTGTCTACTAAGGCTGCATCACATATCTCTGACACATGGGAGGAACTGAGGAAACTCGGACCTAGAGTCCCCTAGTTTGCCTCAAGCAATACCCATTACTACAACATGGGGGGAGAGGAGGAAAACATGGGGACTGCTGGTTCTTTGACTCGAAGAACTATAACAGAGGAACAAAGATGAGCACGAACTTGTCTAAAATCACAAGGTAGAAAGAACACAGGAGCATCTTTGCACTCCCCAAATGCCCTTTCAAAGGCCTCCCAGGCTCCCTCTGTCTCTTCACTCTGATACAGGGTACACAGTGAAATACAGCTTGAGTGTGAGGGACACTCACCCTTGAGTTCTCTTCCAGCCCAAACCAGCAGCCTCTGTTGTCCAAGGAAGAGAGCATCGTCCGTTCTGCCAAAGCACTGCACTAAGATATTTATCCACACTCACCACCAACCTCAGTGGCTTTGAAAACTACTCAGAGGAGGGGTACAAACTGCAGCAACCCCACAGCCCTGAGAACTTGGGAATGGATACAATAGTTCATGCCGCTGCCATGGGAGAGCCTAGTGTAAGAATGAAGTCTAAGAAGTTAAGAAGGATAGGTAGATTCTGCGCAGCCTTACATAATTTACCCCTTGGAGTCCCAGACTATAACTTGGGACTGTTAGGGACTATTTGCAGGGAATCTTCCAGCACTGTGTCTATCACATAGTACATGCTTGCTGCCATTATGAGAATATCCCCGTGCGCCTGAGTGATCTGAGGCATTCGTCACCTCTCTGAGCCTGACCAACGTCACAGGACAAACTTCACCAGGAAAGTGCTAGCACACAGGGTGTAAGTCTTGAATGACTGCTCACTCTTCCAAAGGTCAATAATTCACTTCTGGGGGGCTGGTAATGTGGCCTAGTGGTAGAGTGCTTGCCTGACATGCATGAAGCCCTGGGTTCAATTCTGCAGTACCACATAAACAGAAAAAGTTGGAAGTGGCACTATGACTCTCAAGTGGTAGAGTTCTGGCCTTGAGCAAAAGAAGATCAGGGACAGTGTCCAGGCCCTGAGTTCAATCCCCAGCACTGGCAAAAAAAAAAAAAAAATTCATCTCTGGATGACTTGCCCCCTCACCACCTCAACCAATGTCAGCGGAAACAAAAAAGACAGACAGAGTGATAAGAACCGATGCTGAAAGTGGTCATTTTATTGGATGGAAAAGGGAGGAAGAAATCAGGAGAGAGGCCAGAGTGTGGGGAAGACAGCGGAGATGAGGCTGGATGCATGGCCAGGCAGAAGCATCACCTCCCAACTCCTTGTGCTGGTGGTGGCTGAAGTTGGAGGAAGAAGATCATGATAATAGCATTAGCAATATATCTGTCATAGGGAACAACAGCAGGCAGCTGGAATCATGCCCAAACTCTACCCTACCCCACACTCACACATAGCACCGCTTCACCTTCTTAGGGTTCTGTTTGAAATTTCTCTTTAGCTTCCAGATTCATCTTGTCTGCTTCAGATCATTCCTGGGACACCTCTAGGAATATGCCTTGGTCCTACCTGACCTCTACGGTCTCCTGGATGGGCTATATGGACTGGCACATGCCTATCTCCCCAGTAATCTCCCTCCCCCACCCCTACCCCTTTATACCTTCATTTCTTAAATGAAGCCGAGATCAGCCGACCAGGTAGATAACCTGTCTGGATTCTACAAAATGCTTATAACACAGGAAGGTGAAAAGGCCAGTAAATTGTCAGAGCTGAAATTTGCGCAGTCTTCCTGTCAGCAAAAGTCACCATGCAGGGCTGGGAAGGTGGCTCAGCGGTACAGTGCTTGCCTCGCATGCATGAGGCCCTGGGTTCAATTCCTCAGCACCACATAAACAGAAAAAGCCAGAAATGGCGCTGTGATGCAAGTGGTAGAGTGCTAGCCTTGAGCTGAGGAGCTCAGGGACAGCACCCAGGCCTAGAGTTCAAGTCCCATAACAAAAAAAATAAAAGTCACCATGGAGTTAAGAGGCGGTGGGCATCCTGGGAGAGCTCTGGGTCTTAGGAAAGTCATCATTCCCTCTTTGCCACCAAAGGGCACACTTTGAAATAGCGAGCCTGGGAGCGTGGGCATGTCCTCCCTCACAGGCTTTGGTTTTCTCAGCGGTGCACTGTGGGTTCCTTGGTTGAGCTGACGTTCAATGTGGGACAGGACAATCATGATTGCAACCAAAGGGCCCTTCCACGTCCTTGCTCATTTTACTCCCTTAGCCTGAAACAGCCTCTCCGCCACACCTCACCATCCTACCAACTTCCACTCATCTTTTTATATATATCTTTAAATTGTCTTGAAGTAGTTGTGTACAAAGGGGTTTCGTTGAACATGTCAATTTATGAGCACACTGTATCTTGTTCACTGTCACCATTTCCACACAGACACACCCCAATTTTTATGCTGGCTCTGGGTCACCCCTCTGGGAAGGCTTCTTGGACCCAAACCATTCTATATGCTGCCAAACCCTGCCTGGGTGATGGTTCCTCTGTTTCCCACAGCACCAGGCACTGCCCACAGGCCAAGGGAGTGTCACCCACCTTTTACCCACTGAACTACAAGCTCTGGGAAGGGGTGATGGTCACTTTTCGGTCACAGCCCCAGTATTGACTCACTCTATGGACCAACCAAGCAGTTACTTTATGATGTAATATTGTTTTATTTTTAATGTTAGACAAGGGAGAGGGAGATTTCATCATCTTTTATATTTTCTTCGCACCCAGAGCCACTAGAAGACCTGAAGTTATCCCTAGGCTTAACCTACTCCCAACACAAATTTACCTGATTTCTACCACATTTGTCCTTTAAAGGTAAACAGTTCAGCGAAAGATCAGCTCTTCTGCCTGTCATGAGAAGAGCTTCCTATCTTCTCACCAGGCCTTTCAACCACTGCTTCTTTTCCTTCCACTACTCCTCTCTCCTACAACACAGTGACTCCCCTGCAGCTCCTGGTTTACTATAATCCCAGATAACAAACCAAGAAGCCATCTCTTCACCAGCAAGCATCGCCCCACCCGCCTTCCCCAGAGATCACAGCCATCCACCTCGCTGCTCACCTTCCCATCACAGGAGCCCTGCCTCGGCCCTGCATCTCTACAGTCTGGCTTTTGAAAATGTCACCCAGGCCGTGTTCTACCCTACGACAGCAACACCTCTGGGTCTAAGCCGTGGCCCGTACACCCCAAATGAGCTTTGCAGGCCCTTCTCATCTCGTTCCCTCTCTTCTTATCACTCTTCCCTGCTCACTTGGCTCCAGCCATCTGGCTCTTCTGGAAGTGCCAAGGGATGTCCAGCCTTTCATTGCTGCTGTTGACTCTGTCTCCAGGGCTCTCCTTGACATGCCCTTGGCTCCTTTCCTCATTTCCCACCTTCTTGGCGAGGCCTCTACCCACTGTCCCACGTGAAAACTGGAAGAGCACCCCTTTTTCCTCTTCCCTCAGGTACTTGTTACCTCCTCTCTATGTTCTTGCTCTTGTGGCATCGATGTCCCACACAATCTGCTTGCATATTTATTTTGCTCACCACCCATTAGATGTGATACCCCACCAGAGAAACGTTTTTGTCTGATCTGTCCGTTCATAGAGCATCCCCAGCATCCAGACTGGTCCATGATACTAACAGATGCTTGGGAAATATTTGTCAAGATAATGAAAATAAAGAAACAGATATAAAAGCACCCATAAAGTGTCCAAGGTGGGGCTAGGATATAGCTCAGTGGTAAAGTGCTTGCCTACTAAGTGCAACATCCTGGGTTCGATTCCCAGTGCCAAAAAAAGAAAAGACAAAAAAAGCACAACATTTTTCCTTTTCAACCTAGTGCAGATACTATTGCCCCTTGGCATAAGAGCACCCTTCTCCGAGCCCCCCACCTACCTCAGAAGTTGGGTGTGACACAGGACACTTTTCCACAGCCATTGCGGCAGCATTTCATCCTGCCAGGACACTGACTGTCCACCTGGCACTGGTCCTGGCAGATCCCAAGCTGGGGTAACTCCACACTCGGGCAGGTACCTATCTTTTCTAGGTATAACAAGGAGTAAAGGGAGATAGGTTAAAGGGGAACAGGGACTTAGTGAGTTAGCATGACCCTCACTTCCCCTTTGCTGGCTCACCACCAACAGAGCTGTCTGTCTCATTTTATCTTGGGGGTCTGAGCTACTCTCAGGGTCTTAGGGAGGGCTGCCTCTAAGTCCTTCCTCCTGCTGCTCTCAGATGACTTTGGGACCTCAGTCTGAGCCCCAGCTTTGCCATTTTCTGTTGTTTTGTTTTTGGCCGGTCGTGGGGCTTAGGCACTGTTCCTCAGCTCTTCAGCTTAAGGCTAGTGCTCTACCATTTGAACCACACCACCACTTCTGGTTTTTGGAGGTAAGAGTTTCATAGTCTTTCCTGCCTGGGCTGGCTTTGAACCATGATCTTCAGATCTCAGCCTTCTGAGTAGCTAGGATTACAGGCGTGAACCTCTGGTGCCTGGCTTAGTTCTGCCATTTTCTGACCTTGAGGTTTAGAGCCTGAAACCTCCCAGAGTCCCAGAGTCTTTTAGATGTGACATGGAACCAGTGTCATCTGACACTGGAAAGCAATGGAAGCAGACATGTATTATTCTCCCCTCAAAGATCCAAGTACTTAGCATTTTTTTTGTTTATAATTGATAATTGTAAATGTGAACATATGCCTAGTTCCTGCTATGGCCAGACATTATTCTAAGCATTTGTCATACATTTGTTCACCTGAAAAGTGAACATTAACCTGAAAAGAAGAAGAGAAGGTCCATTAACACTTACTCATGGTTCAGAGAAGGAAACAGAGGTACTGAGAAGTCAAACACTTTGTCTAAGGCCATGCAGGATAAAGGTAAAAAATAAATAAAATAAATAAAAATAAAAGGTAAAATCTGAACTGCAGGAAATCTGGCTCTAGAGCCTGTACACAGGCTCCATGCACCATGCTGCTTCAGAAACTGTGAAGGGCAGTGCCGTGGGAGGGGATACAGACTCAGACTTTTCCCCTTCATTCACTCCTGGAGACTCATTCCAAGTTACAATCACTCAGCACCATGGCAATCCATACAGTCTTATTATCCATGCACAGATGAAAGCATACTTTCTAACACACACACACACACACACAAACAAAACTATGCTTTCTGAAGAGAGGGATATAAGGCCCATATGTGTGTGTAGATATATTATATATGTACATAAATATATATAGTATATATGTGTGTGTGTGTACAACAGATACCAAGAACTGGATGAGTTACTATAGAGGAACATGAGTGGCTGACAGAGACCTAGCTTTCTAAGATGAAGAAATCCCATCCCTGGAAAGGAGCAGGAGCTCCTGACCTGAGTGACCCTTGGGCAAAAGGGAGAAAACAAGGAATCATCCACTAACAAAGCAAGCCACCAGGTACAGCGTCCACTCAGTCATGAGATACTTCCCATGTACCATTGCATTAGCTTTCATGTTAGTCTCAGTCTGAGATGATCATTCCTATTTTCTTTTTAAGACAAGAAAACAGACTCAGAGAGATAAAGCAACCAGTTCAGGATCAGGCACCAAGGAACTTCCAGAGCCGGATTCACAGAGGGGTGGGCTCTCTCTCTGGTTCAGGAGGTCTGCTGGCCTGTTCTCTTCCTGCCTGATTCTGCCATCTGAGACAAGGAAACAGGATCTTCATCCATCTGACAGAACTGACTCCCTTTGTCCTTCTGGTTTCCTGTCTGGCAATCTGCTTTAGCTTTCTCTCCCCAGCTCCACCTCTCCAGATCCTCTACTTCCCACTTCCCAGCCTCTGTGGGCATCTCTAGGAAAAAATAAAGAGGAAAAATCATTGAGGATCTAATTACAGTACCTCTGTGTTTCATATACACCCCCACCACCACACACACACACCATATCCCTGTCTCCTCTCATCCTCTGTTTTGTTAGTCCAATGAGCTCCCTCCCCATAGCTTAGCACACTCCTTCCCCTTCCCATGGCTTAGCATGCTCCCTTCCTAGGCAACACTAGGCCCATTTAGTAAAGGCAGTAAATAATCAGCCTCCAACCCCCCTTTGCCTTGAGATGGCCCTCCTCTGGGACAGCAAGATCCCCTTAGAGCAACCTTCAGGTCTGGGCAGCTGCAGCCCCTTATCTACTAACGTGGCCAGCAGCCATAAATCCTAGGCTACCATGATGAAGCCCCTGGCCCTCATGTCCACACCAGGATCTCCACCTCCTAAACCTCAGAGGTTATAAAAGGTCACTGGATACAATAGCTGGCACTTCTCTCTCATGAGAGGGGTCTTGCTGGTCCCTTTACTGGCAATAAACCTTTTCTTTCTTCTTTATACCTGGATGTCTGCGTGGTTGTCTGGCAAAATCTAATTTACTCTTAGCAGTGTTCCTCTCTGGAAAAGAGAAACTTAGATTCTATGCTAAGCGCCATTACCCTGATCAGAGTCCTCAGCCGGGGGAAAAGACAAGACTTCCAGCAGGTGTGACATCAGAGCCTCCAGCGCTCTCTGTCTGTGTCTCTGTCTCTCTCTCTGTCTCTGTCTCTCTCTCTCTGTTTGCCTGTTTGCCTGCCTGCCTGTCTGTCTCTGTGTCTGTCTGTCTGTGTCTGTCTGTCTTTCTCTCTGTCTCTGTCTCTCTCTCTCTCCCCCTCCCTCTCCTCCATCTCTCTCTGCCATGGCTGTAGAGAGAAGGAAAGAGGGCAGGTGCCCAGGAGTGGTCCTGACTTCCCACAAGTGGAACCTCCCTCCAGTGCCAGCCACAGGATGGCGGTGTGGCTTGGCCACGCCTCCCTTGCACACGCACACAGGTGCTCTTCCTGGCTCTGAAAGCTCCTGGGAGGGAGGCTTCTGAGGTCTTGGCAGGCAGGGCGCTCCCAGGGGTGGCAGGAGAGGCAGATTCCTAGAGGCCTGCGCCCCTCCTACCTGGGCCCCAGCTGGGGCCTGGGCCTGGGGTTCCCCGCAGGAGGCCGCACCCGGATCCCCAGGCTGCCCGGAACCAGGGCCCACGGTGCAAGTCCGGAAACGGTCTTACACCACAGCCCGAGGCCAGCCAGGGGTGGGCAGGGGTGGGCGGGGGTGGGCGGGGGTGGGGGCCCTGGCCCTGGCCGCGCCTCCGTGACGCCTTTGCCCCCCTCCCCGGGGGGTGGGATGGCTAGGCGGATCTAGTTTCGCTGCCCTCGGCCTTTCCGGGCCCCTCCGGGTCCCCTTCCTCCCGGAGCCGGGCGCGGGTTACCATTGGGCACGGAGCAGAGGGTGCCGCAGCCGGCCGGGCAGCACTTGCGGTTGTCGGCGCAGTCTCGGTCTTCCTGGCACTCCCGGGTGCAGTTCAGGTCGGCCTGCAGCTCGGGGCACACGCCCGATTTCCCCCCTTCTGTGCGGGGGGAGAGGGGCGCGGGGGGGGGGGGCTGTCAGTGGGGCAGGGCTGAGCCCCGGTCCCGGAGGATGCGCACCTGGGGTGCCCAGGCCACTCGCTGGGCCTAGGCCCCCCAGGCCCCCGGGGGCGCATCTCCTGGCCAGGGAACGCGGGGGGGCCCCCCCGGGCAGCGTGGGTTCGCGCGCTGTCCCGGGCTCTGCACTGATCCCTTTGCTGGCACCGTGCCGGCCGCACTTCGGGCCCCCGCCCCCCCCCATCTGCAGGGGTCCCCCCACCTCCAGGGCCTTCGTCCCCCCACACCCTCAGCTCCAAGGATAACCAGCTGTAAGTCTGCCCTCCCCCCAGGGGACCCCGATTTTTAACTTTCACGGCCCAGTCTCCAGAGAGGCTACGCCCCGGCCCGGCTGCGCCCGACTCGGCCTCTCCCCGCCCCGCTCACCTGTGGCTGGGGGGAGGCCCAGCAGCAGCGCCCCAAGGAGGAGGGCAGAGGCCAGCGGGCAGAGGGGACACACGGGGACCGGCATGGTGTGCGCCGGGCGGGCGGGGTGCAGGTCTGAGCCGTAGCCCCAGTGGGGGGATTTAACCAGGTGCGGGTGGGGGTGGGGGGCGTGGAGGCGGGGCGGGGCCCGAGCAGGGGCGCAGGGGGAGGAGGTGGAGAGCCCAGCGGGAAACACGGGCGCGCTGCCACCTCACAGCATTTCACAATCCCCAGGGATCAGGTGTCACTCTTGGCCCCGGTGGGAACCAGGAACCGAAGCAGCCAGCAGCCTGGGCGCAGCCCAGCCCGCGCGGCCGGGACCCTGGCCCACCCCTCCCTCCCTCCGTCCCTCCTGGGGCCTCTGAGTTCGGGGGTGGGGGTGGGGGTGGGGGGCTCAGGTGTCCAGAGCCCACGACTCTCCCTGGAACACCTGGGGGTCCGGGGTTCAGACGGAAAGGACAAGCCCAATAGGGCTGCCAGGAGAGCCCGGAGATCAAATGGCTGGACTTGGGGGGTCAGTGGGATGCTGGGGGGGTGGGTGGGAGGAGGCTGCTGAGGTGGCGCAGTCTGGAGGAGAGGCGAGGGACATTGCAGCTGTTATTAATAAACGGACCCATTGACAAGGACCAGGCAGCCCATGGGGCCTCCTGTGAACAGCTGCCAGTTATCCTAGGTGCCACAGCTGTCAGGGCCGACTGGGTGCCAGGGGCTGTCTCCTGGCCTCTGGCCGATCCCTAGTGATCATCTGCTGTATAGAACAAGCAACATGGACGTTGAGAGGTTGGGACCACACACACATGCATGCACGCGCGAAGACAAACAGTTGGGGTTTTGAACCTCACATCTCTTGGTCCAGGCTGTTTTCATTACACCATAAGTATTTGCTTGGTGCCTCTGTATGTGTGTGTGTGCTTGTGTGTGTGTGTGTGTGTGTGTGCCCGCGCTTATAGTGGGTCTTGAACTCAGGGCCTGGGCACTGTCCCTTACTTTTTTTGTTTAAAGCTGGCTCTCTACCTCTTGAGTCACAGCTCCGTGTCTGACTTTTAAGAGTCTCATAGACTCACTCCACTCTGCTGTGGCTACCTTTGAACGCAGATCCTCAGATCTCAGCCTTCAGAATATATAGGATTAAAGGTGTGAACCACTGGACTGAACTTAAGAGAAGACACTTGATATAGAGAAAGTCATCAAAAGGAACCGATTTGCTCTGGTTTTGGGATAACAGATCCTATGTTTGACTCTCACCTCTACCACTTCCCTGCTGAGAGACAGAATGAATTACTTTCCTCCTCTGTATGCCATTTTGTCTGTGTGAGAATGATGATTATATAAAACAGCAAAGAGACTATAAGTGTACAGTGCCTGTCTTGGATGCATTCAATGTGGGCAGGACTACACTGATTAATACAGGTACCCCAGCCGTAGCACATAATAACTAATACATAAATGGCTATGAATGTCCAAGCAATGCCTCATACTATACCTATCTTAAGAAGATGTATAAGTCTAGTCATCCTTCTATTTCTATCGATCTCATATTCTTGGGCTCAGCCAATCTTTCCTGGTATCTGTAGTAAGTCTGTATAGATTTTAGTTTCTTGTTATTGTTCCTTAAACAATGTATTCAATTGTTTACATAGATTTTGCAGTGTAGTACTAGGCATTACAAGTAATCCATAGACAATTTAAAGTGCACAGGAATAGTCACCGTTAACATGTAAACGCCACTCCATTTATATAAGGAACTTGGACTTGGGTGGATTTGGGTCCACAGAGGTCCTGGAGCCAATCTCTTGCAGATACTGGAGGACAATTGTATGCACAAGCTGTAGAATCAATGCCCACACATTTATCAAGGGAGTTAGACAAGAAATGTCTCCAATCATTCTTCAGGCTCTTGGGTGACTTGAGGTTCTGCAGGCCTCAGGAAGTAGGTGTGGCTTGAGGCTACAGGGGTCTGGGGCTGTGAAAACCTGGATGGCAGTTGAGTGGAGGTTGGTAAGGTGGGAGCATCTAGAGGCTGGAGAAGAGTCTGCAAATATCTCCCATGCTTCCCATCCCAGGCCTAGCCTGCAGACTGGAGACATGCGGTTGTTGGGAGGGACCAAGGCTATTTACTCTGAGCTCGGAGAAAGTCAACAGTAATGAAGACAGGAGCCAGGTAGGGACACAGCCCAAGTCAGACTCTGGAAACCCAGGGCATACAGGGGCCACTGGTGAGCGACTGGCTTTAGCCTGTAGACCAGGTCACAACTGGACATTCAGCCCTGGTGCTGTTACCCAGAGCTTTCTTCCAGATTTATCCAGCTATCTCTGGTCAGTCTTACCCCTCCCAACCCTTCCCGGGCTCCCCTGCTGATTGGCTCTCTCTTCCTGGAATGTGGATTATTCTGAGCTCAGGGAGGAGGGGCAGGATGGGGTGGTGTAGAAGGATGGAGGAAACATTTCATAGGTCAGTGACATCAACGTTCTGTTTTGTGGTGCCAAGCTCTGGGCATAAGTAGGAGGAGGAGAGGCTTTAGAACCAAATGCTTCAGTGCACAAGCCAGAAGTCAGTCACTTTCTGGCTCTAACCTAGGGTAGGACTTCTTATTTAGGACCTCATCTACATCTTCCTCCACAAAACGAGCACCCCTATAACATCCTGGGGGATTCTATTCCAAGATTAAAGGGAAGAGCATGTGCCAGAGGTTGAAAATCCAGCATGCATTTTTAGCTCACACAGTATATTTTTAAATTGTAAAGTATTTGCCAAGATTTAAAAGCAGAGAGAACGTCATATAAGAAATTTTTAGCTTCTCTTGCAAAATCGGACGAGGACAGTCCTGAAATCATCAGCTAGAGCCCAGGGTCTCAGAATGGAGTATGCACCAGAATTACTTGGAGGGCTTATTAAACATTGGCTGTGGGGTTGCTCATCCTTTGAGTTTTGATTTACTAGGTCTAAGGTCAGACCTGAGAATCATCTCTAGCAGGATTCTAGGTGATGCTGATACTGTGGTCTGGAGATCAAAGTTTGACCTAGAGCTAAGTAGATAATCTGTCATGTATGTATGTATGTATGTATGTATGTATGTATGTATGTATGTATGTTTTGTGCTGGTGCACTACCACTTGGGCCACACCGCCACTTCCGGCTTTTTTGCTGGTTAAGTGGAAATAAGAGTCTCTGATTTGTCTACCTGGGCTGGCTTCAAATCAGGATCCTCAAGTTTCCCTCTCCTGAGTAGGATCACAGACATAAGTCACCAATGCCTGGGTACTATCTTTTTATGGGGGAAATATTTGTTCGTTTCCCACAATCCCTACCATTTCTTATTGTCCCACATGCCCACCCCCAAAGACTTCCACTCTAGCAACTCACCTGTCCATTTCTTTTGGAGGGCATTGCAGTTTGTGACTTGTGGAATGGGTATATAGGATGTATTCAGTGAAAAGTAGCTTGACTTTATTGACCAACTTTATAGATTAGGTCATATGACTTATAGATGGGGTCATTTTACAGATGAAGAAACAGGCTTAGCTAGGCAAAGAAATGCAGCCAATAAGCCAGAAGGAAAACACTAATATTAAAGTGTTTGCTCATGAGATCTGTTATTTCAGTATCTTTCTCTTTGTCACACACACATCTGAGGCAAAAATAGATGACACATCTAAAAAATTGGACATGACAGGTTATATGAGTGTGAACTACTGTTTATCAAGGAAGAAGGGAAAGGAAAGAAGGAAGGAAAGGTTTATAATGGAAGGCGATGTTAGTCATCTGTAGACATGCTCTCTATGAAGTGACTGTAAACCAGATAATGGTGAAGATCTGAAAATTCCCCAGGGTATGTGGGTATGACTTTAGCTATCTAGCTATTGGAGCTGCATCTGCTTGAACTTTTTTTCATTTTATGGCATTCTCTCTGAGTATATTGGCTATTTTGTTTGGCTTTCCAACCATCTGTTTATCCTTTTTCTGATATAGCACCCACTTTTTCTTTTTTTTTTTAGGACTGAGACTCCAACTCAAACTTGGTACCTAACGCTTTCACTCATTGGCTAGCACTCTACCAACTAAGCCACGCCTCTAACCCCTGATAAAGCATTCTGATTTGGGTTTGAGGGAATGGCTCCTCCTACACCAGGATGAGTCGGGTGGAAGGATTACAAAGTATCTGACCAATTAGAAGCTGACCCTGGGTTTTTAAGCCTGAATAGTTAAAGGGAGAATGGACCCACTACATTCCCCACCCCCTATGAGACCATTTCCATATATTTCTTTGTCAACCATTCCAAACTCAGAACCTGCAAGAGTAAAGGGACTTTCTAGAGGATGGAGGAGTCTGAGGAATGGCAATCCAGGACACCCAGAGTCAGAGAACTCAAGTGGGGCCTTTCATAGACAAGTGAGGGCTTTCCTGGAGAAGTGGTACAAAGAGAAAGTCGTATGTAGGAAACTTCCACTGAAATGGGGGGGAAAAGAGAGAACAGGTGCAGAATACAGGTGTTCTGTAATCCATGGACGATAAAGAAAAGAATGTATGTGGTTGGTAAAACTGTCCAGAAAACAGAAGTCCTGGAATCTCCTGATATGCATCTTAAGCCGCTGGGCTCAGCTTAATCATCAGTTCTGTGTAAGCCTGTGGTCAAAAGAGAAAGGTGGCCAAAGTTCACATTCTTAGGGAGACTTTTGAAAAGTACCTAGGTTGTACTCCTTATTGGCTTCTGAACCGTAGTTTGAAAAGCTCCTTCAGTGTTGTTTTCATTGTGAATTTTCCTTTATTTTTTCACACCTTCTCTCTTTGACGAGAGCTAGAATTGTTTTCTGTTGCTAGCAACCAGAATGATCTAGCACCCTATGCTGGGCTCATCTTTGAGTTCCTGACTTCTAAATTCAGGTTGTTGTTGTTGTTGTTTTCCTTACAGTCTTTATTCTCATCTAACTCATGATTAAGATCTTTATGGCATAAATACAGTAAATAATAAAACTAAGTTCTTTATACAAAAAAAGTTTTTTTCTACATGGTTTTAGTGTAAAAGTCCACAAAAACAGAGCTCCTCTACTTCCCTGCATCCTTTACTTATGAGTCTCCAAGCCTCTTAAAAGCA